GGACTCTTTCTCCATGTGTGGGGGATAATTTTAAATTGTCTTCCTTTGTGTTTCTGTCTACATCAGTGTTTGGCTTAATAATAGACCTCACTAAGTAAGAACTTGGCAATTTTATCATGATGCATTTTCTTATTTACCATGTAAGATGTATAAGCCTTATCTATCAATGTGAAATGTAATAATAATAATGCTGATTGTTAATTCTTAGCTCAAATACTCACAAGTGTGTTTCTTATCCACGTAATTGTGCTGGGCAGGTGAACAAGGCATCAGACCATGAAGTTGTTCCGGGATTCAGGCTAATCAGAAGCTCTGCCTTCTTCAGTATGTGACTTCCCAGGTCACTCTTTCCAAAGATCAACTTCACCCTAGTCAGCCAGGTAGGGATCGCCATACATGGAGGCAGGGGGGTAAGTATCAAAGACTATTTACGGTAGGTAATCCAGATGTGGTTATGATGAGCTGGTCTTGGCAGTTGTTCTCTGTATCTTCTTTATTTCAAAAAAGACAGAGTTAAAGGAACCCTGATGCAATTAGAATTCATTTAGTCATGGTAGAAAAAAGCTTTTCAATTCTAGAAGGTTAGAGATGAAAATGAATATGATTGAAGTTTATAGAATCAATGCAGTCATAAAAAAGTTCACTAAATCACAGACCACAGAATTAGGATGCCGTTCTTAAAGACTAAAAAGAGTTATTCTAGGTCACATAAAAGCAATATGGTTCAATTTTAGAATAACTGGAAGTGTGTTAACTACTATTGATTAACACTATGTGACAAAGACTTGAGTACCTATTTTCATTTGATCTTTACAAGAACTCTTTATAATAGCTTAATGTGGTGGTTTAATATGCAGGCCGCAGGGCAAAACTAGCTGCTGTGAATTCTTGCTCTTTTGCTCACTAGCTGGGAAACCCTAGACAGCAATTTAACCTTTCTTTGACTCAATTTCCCCAACTATAACATGGAGATAATAATAGCATCCCAGTTCCTGGGGTTAATGTGAAGATTAATGTATTAAATGTATAAAATTCTTCGAACAATGCATGGCACATAATAAGCTTCCGTCATTATTACTATTCCCCTTTTATGAATTAGGTTATTGTATTCCTGTGGTCACATGGCTAGTAACCAGTTAAACTGGCTATTAAAAGGTATATTTAGTCAAATCAAAATATCTGGTTTTCCCACTGTGGCAGGCTTCAAGGGAGTTATAAACTGTTAAGAGACTGGTCTACATCCAGTTTCTAGGGGGATTGGGCCTATTTATATTACATTGTGATTAAAAGTAGGGAGAAACTACTCAGAGAAGCCTTTTAAGTTCTACAAGTGCTAAGAGTGAGGGTTTGAAAGTCAGACATTCTAGGACAATCTCAGTTCCAGGTTGTGTGATCTTGAGGATGTTAATTTATCTCGCCAAGCCTCAGCTTTGATGATAAGTAAAATAGGGATAATATTATCTCCTAGACTAGCTGAGAGTAACAATAAGGCTTAAATAATAACAACATTTGTTATCTCACTTATCAAAAAGTCTAGAGATAGCTCAATGGGTTTGAAATCTCATGAAGGACCAGGGCTCTTGGCATCTCTCTTTTCTGTGTTCTGTTTATATAACAATATACTGAACTGAGAGAAAAAGGTGGGGAGAGAAAGAGAGAAATATTTTCCTGCAGCCTTTCCCCAACCTATTGATCAGAACCCGGCCCCTTATATATGACTCCAGCCAGTCACAGACAAAGGAGAATGGGATTATTGTGATTGGATTATACCAATCACAAGAAAAAGAGTGTAGAGAGTGCTATTTAATAGTGAGGATCATGTTGTTCAGAGTCTTGGAAGTACTTTGCTTAGAGCTCTGGTCTTCAATGAATGCTCAGTAAAGGTTAGCTTTGCCAGCTCCCCGAGGCTGACATTCCGTAGAGCAATTCTGTGCTCTGGAAAAACACAGACCTTCCTATTGTTTCAGAAAACAGAACATAACACTGAACTTGATGGCTCATAAGCCTAGCTCACACAATTTTGGATATTCTTACAGGTTCTTTGTGTGGCAAAAATTCCCACCCTTTACAAGCATTTCTATCTTGCAACCTTAACAAATGATGTGGCAGATGAGGGAGTTTAACCAAGCTGATTCAAGCCTTGTCCTTCGTGCTGAAGGGACTGATCCTATAGGACTCCTGGATCAAGCTGCATCATTTTGCTAGCAGAAGACAGTCCTGCCACCCCTGATCATCTTGTGGATAAACCCTAGACAGAATTTTACAACTTTACCCTCCTTTTTCCGTTCATATTCATAGCAATAGCTGGGAGGAATCAAGAATGCTAGATGAAATACTCCACCATTCATTGCCACAATAATGGTGCACAACAAATGACCCCACTGCCAATCCAGTGGCATTCACCCACCGGCTTTTATTGTCGTCCTTATGTGTCTTCAGGTTGGCTGGATTCTAACAGATCTCAGCTGGTTTCCCTGGACTTGTCTCCAAGCTGTAAATTGGGCCTAAGTCTGTCCTGTATGTCTCCTTGGATCAGAGGCTCCCTGAGGCGTGTTTATCTCATGTCAGTGGTAAGATACCCAACAGGGCAAGCCTGACATCACAAGCATATTTTGAGCCTTTGCTCAGTCACATCTTTAACATTCCATTGGCCAAAGCAAGTCACATTAGCAACACCAGTGGGGTGGACATAGTCAAAACCTGCAAGTTCACCAGGCAAAGCGTGTGGACCTAGGGAGTGGCAAGGAACAGAGAGTAATGACAGATGCAATAAGCCACCACTAGAAGGCGTAATCTCCTTTCTCATTTTGCTTTTTTAACCTTCCAAACTCTTTTTTTTTTTTTTTAATGGGCACAGCCCTGGACTGTCTTGCCTTCTTAAGCCTCTCTCATAGGTCATCTGTATTTGCCCAGTAATCTTTCTTGTGGATAACAAAGAGACTGAGAGAAAAAAGAAAGAAAAGGAATGGGAAAGTAAGGAGAAAACAATGTGGTAGGATCGGTTGTAAGGTGGTTGAGAAGTCTTGGAGCCCTGGAAGCCAAGTTTTCTGTGGTCCTCTGAAGTAAAGAAAATCAGTGTGAGAATGTGATGTAACTAGCAAGAGAGACTGTAAGTAGCATATTATGGTCTAGGGACATTTGATCAAAATGAAACACCTCTGTCTTTCCTGAAATTCTTTGTGGCAAGTGGCTTCCAAGAATCCCCAAAGACAGCAGGAGGCTGAGGTCATCATAATACTGCCTAGCATAAGCTGGAGATTAGTAAATATGGTTTAAGTGCAACTAAATATTTAATAGCAAATTTTCTCATTGGATTTTTGGTAATATTTTGGTCAAGTTTATAAACAGAGACCCAGGGGTCAGAGGACAGGGACAATAAAGACTTCAGAGAAAGTAATGTTTCCATTTTCTCCTTACCATTCTGTTTTTTCTTTTCAAAAAAGCAACCCTTTTTTGAGATACAATTTACTCCGAATAAAATTTACTCATGGCAGGTGGCAGTTCTATGACTTTTGACATGTGTCTACATACAGGATATAGCACATTCCCAGCACCTCCAGAGTTTCCCGGTCCATTCCTTGACAATCTCTGCCCACTCCTGGTCACTGGAAACCACTGATCTTCTTTCTGTCAACATAGAATAGTTTGCCTATTCTAGAATTCCTACAAATGGAAACGGGCAGCATGTAGTCTGTTGTGTCTGGCTCTTTCACTAAGCTTGGAGGCTGTGGGATTCGTCCACGTCCTTACAGGCCCGCTCCTTTTCACTGTGCAATGGTGTCCCAGTATCTGGGCACACCACCATTTGTTTATCCATTCATCTGATGCTAGGCATTTGTGGTCTCCAGTGGGGATATTAGGAAGAGCTTAAGATTGTTGGACAAGTGCATGTTGGATATGTTTTCATATCTCTTGGGCAAATATCTAGGAGTGAATTTTCTGGGTTGCACGATAAGTAAATCCTTAACTTTACTGAGAAACAATTCTCCAACGCAGCTTCACCATTTTATACTCCCCCAGCAGCGGATGAGAGTTCCTGGGACTCGACTTGCTCACAAACATGTGGGATTCTCGGCCTTCACATCTTTATCGTGTCGGGTCTTCCTTTCTTCCTTCCTTTGCTCCTTCCTTCTTTTCGTCCTTCCTTCCCTCCTTCTTTTATTTCCTCCCTCCCTTCCTCCTTCCTTCCTTTCTTCCTTACCTCCCTCTCTCCTTCCTTCCTTGAAATGAGAAATGTTTGTTCAAAGGGTGATTTAAACATTCCTGGGCTTATGTTCCTAAATGAGCAAGTTTCTATCAATAAAGCATCTCTCTCTCTCTCTCTCTCTCACACACACACACACACACACACACTCTCTACTATGTACTTAAGGAGAAGAGGGGTGAGGAACCTTCTTTCTTCCTTAGGAAATGAACCTTTGCCTCCCTTAGGATCGCCTTTCCATCTCAAAAGCACAACTTAACCGTTGGCCCCGTCTGACTTCAAGATCAGCTCGCTGCAAACTCTCAGGCGCGGCGAGGTTTCTCCGAAGAGCTCTCACTCCAAGCCTCTCAACCACGCTCTTCTCTGCTGGTAAATAGTAATTGTCTTTTGGAAAAGCTGGTTTGTGGCGGGCGCTGGAGAGCTCCAGCTGGAGCGGAAAGCTGTGGGTTGCCTCTACGATCCCTCCCGAGGGCCCCCTTTCCCCACCCGGTTGAGATCCAAAGACGGTCCCGGGCTTGTGCCCAAGTTCCCCAGAAAACCCTAAGGAGCTTACGGCTCCCGGACACCCCTGGCACCCCTGCAACCGGGGCACCGGGCATGCTCAGAGGGCTCGCGGGAGGCAGGCGTTGGCTGCAGTGGGGCGCAGGAGCCAGGAGGTGCCGCTGCGTCCCCGCTTCCTGGAACCTGACCCAGCGCGCAAAGTTGGGCAGGCAGCCGCGGGGGAAGGAAGGACCGAGCGAGCGAGGGTGGCGAGGAAGGGGGGAGGAGGGAGGAGGGGAAGGAGCGGGGCGGGGGGTGCGCGCCGGGCGTGTGTCACTCGCTCTCTCCCTCTGTGTATAGAGGATGTGCTGAATGGTGCGCTTTGAGGCGGCGGCGGAGGAGGAGCAGGATCCGGCGGCAGCTGGCAGCCTAGGCTCCCGGCGCGGCTTCGCTTCGCCTTCCGAGGCTCCTCGCCCGCCGCGGGCTCCCGACCCCGAGTCCCGCCCGGGGCATGGCCCGGCTCTGCGCCCCGGAGCGCCCCGCCTGCTGAGCGCCGGTGGGAGGTGTGGAGGCCGGGAGGCCGGGGAGGTCGGCGAGGGGACAGAGGCGAGCGCCTGCGGAGCAGAGAAAGGAGCCCGCGCCCTGCGCCCCGCGCCCGGTCCCTGCTGCACTCGCCCGGGCCGCCCGGAGCCCCGATGAGCCCAGATGGCCGGGGCTCAACCCGGAGTGCACGCCTTGCAACTCAAGCCCGTGTGCGTGTCCGACAACCTCAAGAAGGGCACCAAATTCGTCAAGTGGGATGATGTAAGTATTGGGGCGGCCCGGCTCGGGGCGCTGGCCCGGGCACCCGGCGGGGCGGGCGGCGTGGGGGTGGGGCGAGGGGCGCGTTATGCAATGGGCGCCCCGGGAGCGGGCAGGACAGCCCGGGGGCGCACAGGTTGGCATATGCCAAGGCAGATGGCCAAGGGCAGGAGCTTTGCGCGCGCTCCTGTATCCTGGAGGTTTACTAGTTGACATCCTTTCTGAGTCTGTCAAGCGCCCCCTGAGGGTCTTAAATGTTTTGCAGGAGGTCAGGCTTTACCTGGTGATGGGTCCCGGGAGTTTGGAAAGTGGGGAATGTGAAGTTGGGACCAGCTGGAAAGCGCCAGGTGCGAACCAGACGCGCCCTTTCTCCGCCCGCAGACGCACCCCCAGCCCGGTTACTTGATTTTTTGCCCCCTTTCATGAAGGAACTGGCCTCGAAGACCAAAACTGTTTAGTGATTGCTAACCCTTCTAGCGCTTTTGTGGGAGCCCACGTGACAGAGGGCACAGCAGTCCAGCCGACAGGTGGTCGTTGATACCAAACTTCAGTGCCTGTCTCCTGAGTGAGGGGCCCTGAGAAGGCTTGGGGAGGGGAAGACACCGAGGAGGGTTAAGGAGCAGAAGAGGAAGCCTGGAGGGGTCTAGAGGGCTGGAAGGGCCTGCATGCAAACAGGGAGGGCTAGGTTTTGAAAAGAGAGCTGACTGGAGTCTTTGGCTTGAAATGGACGCAGGACATTCTCTCAAGATCCACCTTCACCTTTCGCGAGTTAGGTCAGAGACTAGCCCAGGACCAGGGGCTCCAGTGCTTCAGCGGCTTGTCTAGACCCTAGGACTTCAAATGACTTCGCCCTCCCTCCATGCCAGTTGCCTTCAAAACACTTAATATTAGTAATCGTCCTGAAAAATTTGACTCTTTGGTTGGAGAACATTATGGTATCAATTTTATGTACTGGGTGTCATTCAAGAGGTTTGATGAGAACAGCCGCTGAAATCACCCCGAGCTGCCAGGCTCTAAGGAAATTTAGGTCCAAAGGACTAATACATCTCTTAATCATGAGGAATTATAGGAGAAAGAGGCGGTTTTCTTGCTGAAAAGATTTTCCACCTAGTAAATTATAGCCTGTTATCCTCCAGGGTATTTTTCTTTAATCTTCTTAAGCCATTTTCCAGTGTCTGAAAACAATTTAAATATTCCAGGTAGCGAATCCAATTACTTAGCTGAGTGCGTCTGTGTCTATATTTTGTCCAGCTGGAAGTTGGAGTATGAGCTACAGCTTCCTTGAAAGCAAGTGCCAGTTATTAAGTGCTGTAGGCAAGGATATTAGCACGCATCTTTTTTACCACGGACTTCAGACTTTTTTTCTTTTAGTCCTGGTCTAATTGGACCGGATGTTTTTGTAAATGGAATAGAATTGAAACAGCAAATTCAGGCACAAATGAAATGCTTTGTCTCAAAGGGAGAAACAAGACAATAATAATTCGACAACCAATATACTGCCCATCTCGAGATCCTTGACTAGAGAGTTACTGTGATGGTAAATTGCCCAAGAAAGAGAGGGAAGGACAGAGGGAAAAGAGAGAGAGAGACTTCGCAGAATAGAAAAGGGAGTTTCAGCATAAGCTCTGGATTCCTGAACAGTGATGATTTTAAATCATGTTTTAAACAATTCTCCATACTTTCTTATTTGGGAGAAATTAGCCAGTGCCACTTTGAGAATGAAGGTCTTCCATGAAACACATTTTGATATATCCAGGCAGATGATTTTTATTATCTGCATTTATGTAATAAATATTTCTTGCTCACTTATTGGTACCAGCCCTAGACTAGAAGAAAGTAGACAAAATGCTGTAACGGACCTTACAAGCTAAGTGGAGGAGACAAAAATGATCACAAACCCTGATGAGTGGTGCTTTGAGTATAATGGAGGGGCCAGGCTCTTCTCGGCCTTTTGACTAAGATCAGGTATGAGAATGGAGAAGTCACTAGTCAAACACCAGCCGAAGAGGAAGATGAAAAGAACTCGCTGTGAGCAGTGCAGCCAGCTGCGAGTTTCTGAAGAAGCCCAATGGGAAGGATGTAGGGCGAACCTTAAGGAGAAGGCCAGTAGAATCCTTAAAAAAGAAAACCTAGACTGTACCCAGGGGTCAGGTTATCTGGCATATGATGAACTGTCCCACAAGTTCTTTGGCTGTCTCGGTCTCCATGGTGATCCGTGGACTAGGAGGGAACCCGCATTTCTCAGAGTTGCCTTTATCCTCCTGAGGCATCACTCCCTTACTCTTCCATATGTACCATCCAGAATCAAGCAGTTATCTGCCTATTGATACAAGAACTAGATCTTGAGTCAAAGGCCTGAGTTTACCTGTGAGGTCTCTTACCATAAGCTCTGTGACTTTAGGTGAATCACTTAGCCTCTCTGAAACTGTGCTGCTTCTGGTGCAAAACTGCATTCCCTGTTTCAGCTAGTAGTTTGGAGGAGCCAGTAGGATAAAGCAGCACTTCTCACAGCTGAGTGTGTATCAGAGCCGTCTGGAGGGCTTGGTAACCCTCGGATTGCTGGGTCCCACCCTCTCGTTCTGATTAGGAAGGTCTGGGGTGGGGCTTGCTTATCTGCATTTATTATATAACCTGGGTGATGTTTCTGCTGCTGGTTTGGGGAAACCACACTGTGAAAACCACTGGGATATGACATAAAAAGGAACTTGGAAGGTATCACAGAGAGCACAATCTCCTTGGCCTATCTACATTTTCCCTGGTTTGTGAGTTTAGTTTTATCTCCCTGTTTGCATTTTGAGGAATTTCATCTGATTTTTTTTTACCTTACCACCTAGGAGATAGAAAGCCCTGAATGTCATAATCATGGACAATCATTTTAGATCTTCTAGAATGTTTTAAGAAATAGCCCTGATAGCCAAATTGGCTTAACTCACATTCACACATTTCTTTTGAATTGTTTTTACGCAATGAAAAAAAACATTTTTTTTTTTAAATTTTCATCTGCTTCTGGTGGGATTGCTAAAAAGGGAAAGAAAAGAAAGATGTTTGAGAGGCCGCCCACTCCGACTTTGTCTCTGAGCAGGGGAGGCTGCTGTGTCTTTCCACTTGGCACTTACTTGCTTTGGAAAACCCTTGCTGCCCCTACCCTCGGGTGCACCCCCATCAGCTTGTCTAGAAAAGTGAATGCTATAAACAACCGAAAAATCTCTCAAATCTCTGATCTCACTTAAAAACTGTAGAACCTGCTTTCTTGAGGGACAAACCCATAAAACATCCTTTCTATCCCTTTAATAAATAACAGGGTATTAGAAAATGATCCTAGGGCTACTTAATATCATGAAGAGATCATCTCTTATGCTTTAAACAATAAGGCACCATAATCACCGATCTTGTTGTTCTGACCACCGTATGGAATGGAAGATGTCGCCTAGAGGGTTGCAGTGCCATGCATAGGTTTTTGGCCACCTACCAGAGTCACAGTGAGGCTAGGAATGCTCTAAGGGTAGTAGCCAAAAGCTTTGATGTAGGCACTGACCTATCACAGGGGGCAGCAGGTGGGTAATAGAGCAGGACCCTCTGGTACTAGGGCCAGCTCTAACCCTTTTGGTACTAATCATGGGGAAGTTTGGGAGTTTCCCCAGGGTCTGTAAGTGTAGGGGGTGGGGGTTGGAATATTTCAATGTTTTTGAACATCAATGCTGAAATGGTCCCCTAGAACTTGGCAAAGAGATAAAGGACTGACCGAGTCTGGGTACCTCTTTTATTAATGATATTAAAAACGCCACTTTATATCCTTGCTTTCTTGTGCGTTTAGGTGGGTGTTTTGGGAGAATTCTGGTGAGGTAGGTGGTAAAAGGAGTTACTTTCTCCGTCTAAGCTAGGGAGCTTGGGAGATTGTGAGACTGGCCCCTGTCCCTTCTGGGCCTTGTTCTATATTGGACAGGACATGGAGGGGAAGAGGAAAAACTAAAAACTATACAACAGGCCCCCCAACCCCCGAGTCACCCCATTTTCCATGCCCAAGAACTCTATCCCTTGGGGGATAGAAGGGTTCCAGGGAATGGAAGAGTTTTCTTTTCTTTTTTTTTATTTTTGTTCTTTCTTTTTTCTACTCTTACCTTCAAAATTCAGATCTTACTGTGACAAGTTGTTTAGTATATCCCATCTCAGTTTCCTCAACTATAATGTAGAAATTCTTTACCTCACAGAACAGCTGCTACGGTTACATGAACTAATGCATATGCATTTTTTGTAATAGTGCCTGACACGTAAGGGACCCTCGATTACACATCTCTAACAAGTCACTGTCCCCCAGGGGGACAGGAATTGTATCAAGGTGCTCTGTGTGCTCCTTTATTCTACACGTGGAAAATCCAGATCTTACTTATATTCCTTTTAATGTTTGTGTTGATTTTATAATTTGGAGAGGAGGGAAGAACAGCTTTTTTACCCCTTTTAAAATTTTTAGGTCTTCCAGAGCAAATGAATCCCCATAATTCCAAGAAGGCCCCACTTTTCTTTTCTTTTTCTTTCTTTTTTTTAGTGACAGAGCCTCACTATGTCACCTGGGTAGAGTGCTGTGGCGTCACAGCTCACAGCAACCTCAAACTCTTGGGCTTGAGTGATTCTCTTGCCTCAGCCTCCCAAGTAACTGGGACTAGAGGTGCCCACCAAGAAGCCTGGCTATTTTTTGGCTGTAGTTGTCATCATTGTTGTTTGGCAGGCCCGGGCTGGATTTGAACCTGCCAGCTCCAGTGCATTTAGCTGAGCTTTTCTAAAGCAAGTCCATTTACAAATCATCTCAAAGTTTTATTTCTACTTTACTTCTCTCTCTCTCTCTCTATACATATATATATACACAAATGTGTACACATCTGTATGTTTATATACACACACACATAGTCTCACATTGTACATCCTGTCTTTCAAGCACAATGTAACATTTGAAAGTCATACTTGCTAAGCTGTGTGGTTTGACAGGAAATCTGAGGAGGCTCAGAGAT